ATCTGTTATTAGTTTAGAAAATTTTTGTTGAACTTACAAAGTAAAGATGGATTGTAATGAACAACCCACGAGTTATCAATAAAGTGTCCTCTAATTTTCACACTTTTTCCAGTATTTACTCTATATAAGCTGGATATGGATTTTCTCCTTTAGTTGTTTGTTCTACAAATTCTTTAGGATACTTATTTTTACAATATCCTTTTTTTCATACAAGAATTTGTTGATTCAAATCACCACAAGGACCATGCATCATGTGTTGTGTAACAAGTGAGTATAAATAGGGAAGTCATTCCCATGACTACTTGCTACGATATAAGAATTAAAAATTCGTTTAGCATCTTGTCACTTATTGCTAGTGAATGAAAGTCAGAATCAAAGAGATAATTACAGAGCAACTTCCAAACGTGTAGTAGTAATGAAAAAAAATAAAGATACAACACTCTTATGTGACTTTTATGATTGACACTAAAGTAATTCCAAAATGGAACAAGAAACAGTAAGAATTGACAAATGAATCTAGACTACCATTTTCAGATAATAAATAATCACCATCACAAAAAACATATAAAACATAAATAAGGTGTCAGGCACTTGCAAAATTGTATTTGGCTAGAAATGTAGAAGGAGATCTCTCCCATGTAAATAGAATTAACGTTGAGGGATAAGAAAATGATATTTTACTTTGGCAAGAAGGAAACAAAAGGTTTGCACTAATTCTACCAAATCGATAGATGACAGTGCATTAGCTTCTAATTATTAATATTTCAAGCAGATAATTAATTATATTCAGAAAAAGGATTAGACGAAATAATAATTAACAATATAATCTAGAATTTCATATCATAAACTTTGAAAGCAAGAAGAGAATTGACAGAAAATTGAGATAAAAACATGCATGAGTTCGATCACCCAATTGACAAGTTGAAAGAAAGGAAAGTAAATCTTCAAAAGTTCGGAAAAGAACAAAGATCATGGCAAGGAATGAGATTAAATATGGAAACGCACCTATTGATTCAACTATTAAATTAAAAATTTGAAGAGAATGATATAGCTTAACCAAAAAATAAGAGATATACTAACCTCAAATTGGTAAAATCATCATTGGAAAGAAATACTATTTCATTTGAGAGTAAAAATAAAGCAGTGTGGATGCTTCTGAAATAAAGTTAAGTATTTTTTTTAATAAAGTGATTTGGGGATGTTGAGTGACACGTGCAACAAAATAATACAAATATTGGGGTTTAGTAAGTGTGAATGAGAAAAGAAAAGAGAAAATATGAAAAGTGAGGGAACTATTTTGGAGGGAAAATAAAAAGTCATTTGCAAAGTGCAAATGAAAAGTCATTTCTCTCATATCGGCAAAAGAAAGGGAAATTGTTGTCCTTATATAAGGAAACACTTCCATTACTTCTTAAAGAGCTAAGAAGAAAATGTCCCCTCGCACCGTCGTCGTTGTTCGGCCTCGGCTTTGGATTTGGATTTGGCAAATGATTTGATTGATAAATTTTTTTACAAAATTTATTTAATCAGTTTTTGTTAAATCAAATAAGTCCGCTGTTATTATTCCAAAAGACACAACTTTCTGGATAAAACGGTCTGAACACATTTCTCTTAACAGACACGTTCCTTGCTGAAAATGGCTATACAAGGAAGTCAATTTTCGATTTTTCAAACACTGAAAATTTTCCTTCTCTGCATTTGCTTTTCTCTCAAATAATATCAAAGTGTCGATCGACTGAGTCTGTGTGACTTGTTGCTGTTCTGAATTTTGTTGAAGTTAAAGAAATTTGAGGTACCGCGATTTCTTTAACAGGTTTAATCCGTTTTATCTTGAGAGAAATTAATCCATAACCTTGGGTACAGTGAGGGGATTAAATTTCTTAAGGACACAACTTATACAACACAGAATAAAAAAAATGTGGCAACATCAAGCTTCAACTAAGCCTCATCTTTGAAGCCCTATTTCACGATTGACATAAGACATTTTATATAATAACACGAATATGAACAGAAGTACGTTATTTTTTTAACTCTCTCACAAATAGATCATTTAGCAAGATAATGTCAACCAGAATAGCATAAACACTACATTTTTTCGTATTGGAATATAATAGAGAATTAGTGGAAGAAAATAAGAAAGCCAAATGTTTGGAATGTAAAACATCAATTACAAATGTATGAAATGAGATCTTAGTTAAGGATTAATATTGTTTTTACAGTAAAAGTTTGCAAAAACAGTCAAGAAAGCAAAGTGACAACATGACCAAACAAAGCTGAACAAAGCTCAATAGGTGTAAAAATTACAACCCTCATCCAAGATTAAGAAAATCCTGGTAAGCCACAAGATACAACTCAAAATATTTTATATGTATAGGACTAAAGGATCATTATTTATAATGACATTGATTCATAATTGTGACAGTAATGTTAAAGGATTAATCAATCTGGTAAAAAATTTTATGAAATATCTTTAATATTTACCTTTAAACTTGTTTTGGAGAAATTCAGTTCAAGAGTTTCAAATTAGATCTTCAGCAGACAGTAAATGGATATGATGACGATATTAAAAATCTCAAGTTCCGATAAACCATGAAGAGATGGAAACAGAATAACATAACCCAAATTTTAACCCTTATAGAGAAAGAAAAAACAGTATGATGTACAAATAAAATGTGATGAAAAAAGTAAAAGAATCAGCAGGGTTACTATAGTTTTGAAAAGTAACATACCAGTAGTAGTGTTTGATCAAAGCCTATTCCAAAGTTTGGATCAGTTTTATAGGGTCATGATAAGCCAAATATAAAATTACATAACTTGTGCAAGGAATATATTATATAGTACTAAGTGTCATCTAAAATTAGCATAAAGCTTTCTCGAGCTTTGCATATTGTAGAAGGATTATTCTCATCATTTCTTTCTAGATAAGTTTTACTAAACAGGTTTGATTTCACAAGTTTTTTATTACTAAATGCTATTTTGTATTGTATTTTTTGATTCTATCAGTTCAAGATGGTTATTCTGATAAAATCAATAGAGAAAAGTTATATCATTTTTTAGGAACTAAAAATGAAGACAATAGCCTTCAATGATAGGAATAACTATAAAAACAAAAAGAAAGTATTTTCATTATGTTGATAAATGTAGTACCTGTAAAAAATGACTCTAACCTGCTATCATAGGAGAAAATATTTTCAGTTTCCATCAAAGAACAGGAACATAAGACATCCACATAGAAACATCAGAAGCTTGCAAAATTTGGCATTCAGTGGCAACAGCAAAAAAGTGCAAAAACTGACTGCTTCGACAACCATAGCAAAAGTGTTTGAACTGAAATTTAAAACAATAAAAAATAATCTGTCTAGAGACTGAAGAGAATTCAAAGAAAATAAATACAAAGATAAGTAAATCCTATTTCTATTAGTCGATTGCAAAGAAAAAGTTTTAAACAATGTACAAAATAATTTATATACCTTAAAATTTTTTTTCATGGGAGGATTAAATTTATTTGCGATGCTTGGATATTCTTTATCCCTTGAATTAACATGCTCAATTGTGCGCTTTTTTTCTTTTGTAACATTGACTTTTGTAGATGCCACTGGTTCATGAATGACATCTTCTTTCTCCGGGTAAGACAAAATGGATAATGTTTGCATTGCATCCAATTTTTTTGTGAATAGCTTTTTCATTTGAATGTTGAATATCTTTCCATTCAGTTGATCTTCCACATTTTGCTGCGATAATGTTCCTTTCTGGTAAGTTTGATTAATTATAACAAATTAAACAATAATAAGATATGCATTGATCATGAATTCTCAAATCAAAATAAAAGTGGATGAAGAAAGAAAAGGGAATTACCCAAAAAAATTAATATTAAATTTATTTCAAAGGAAAATAAATATCTCTATGTTTATGTATTTACATCTGAACTCAAATTCAATACTGAAGGTCTTTCGACTAATTAGAGTTAACATGTAATTATAGTTCTAAAAACGGTCATGCCTATTGTGGTAGGTGCATAACAGTTTGCACAAAGTTCTCAGCCAACAGGAAAAAACTTGTAAGATGGATAAAAGCCTAAAAATATATATACAATGATAATATTTTAATAAAGTTGGCTGTAAATTCAACAACAAAAAGTGTAATTTGGATGCTGCAGAAAAGAAACATGAACTTAAAATATGAAATTTTGTATGAAAAAAGTTCTTTATTTCAAATTCTGTCATGCTAGAGTTCTAAGCTTATAGAGCTACAGTATCTTTTTCAAGTAAAGGAACTCAAACGTTCACATAATCATATGTACATTAGTTTCAAACTCTTAGAAGTTAGATAGTATATTATTCAAGATATTTTTTTTCTTCTATAGTTCAGAATCGATACTTGAAGCTTATGTTCAAGAGAAGAAATAAGAAACAATAAAAATATAAATTCACTACAAGTTCTTTGTTATTATTTGGTGAGAAAAAAATAATATATACCTTGACGAAGCAAATTTCATAAATTTCTTCGAAAGTGAGGTGCAACATTTACTCTGCAATTTCATCTGAAACAATAGCTGTTGCAAAACCGTTGTTGTCCTTAACAGTAACTTCAAATTTACACCTGTTTTGATAATTAATGAAAAAATTTAAAATTAATGGTCAGTTAAGACATTTATTTGTTTGAATAAAGAATATAAATAATCTTAATTAGTTATTAATAATTTTAATTTTGTAGAAGAGAAAATATACCTAGGAATAAGATGTGTGGATCGGTGACAACTTATGCAGTAGATTTCCCTTCGCACATTATATCTTGTGAATAATTGCTTACAATTTGAGCATGCTAACACACTAAAGAGTTGGTCCTTACTTGCAAGACACAATTCAGCCTCAATATTAAATATTTGTCCCTTAAAATTCAACATACCAAATATTATTCACTGTTAAATAAAAAATTTCCAAATAATCAAATAATATACTTGTTGTTCTTACCGGAGGTTGTGCTTGGATGTTAGCCTCAAATATAATGTCATCCTCAAATGGAATTAACACAATATCCCATAGGAGTTGTACTTTTCATCTTATAAGCAAGTATCTTTGTTTCAATTGTTTTGATCCTATATACAAGTAATATTATAAAAATTTATTAATGATCGCTCATTGAAAATACTTGTATCATTTTGAAAATTCTAAAAAGAATTGCAAACAAGTATACGGTACATAAATTTATCAAAAATAAATAAGAATTCTACTATCTTCATTTTATTATATGTCTCATAGAAAGATTATGAAAAAAGAAACAAAAGTAGAATTTTAAAACTTTTTTATCGTAAGAATAAAGATATATTTTATATGTCAAAATACTCTGAAAGTTCGATGCATTAAATAAAAATATATATTACCATGTCCTTAACTCAGCAGCCTGTGGATATGGAGGATTGATTTCAATTGTTGTATTGAATTTGCTCGTCAAACCAATGAATCTATTCGATGTTCCTACGTGCATTTGAATATATGATTTTAGTTTCATCATGTCATATATTTTTCAAAAAAAAGAAAAAAAGTTATTTGCAATTTTACCTGGGGATGATTTCGCAATTCTCCTAGCAAGAATGATCGGGTAATCATGAAATTGGTTGAAAAGTTTAACTCCCTCATGATCAATAAAATCCTCTCAAAGTGTCAGTTTTGTGGTTTTTTCCTGCATATATTTCGCAGGACGTTATTAAACAATAAAATCATTAAAACAATATTATATTATAAATTATAAAAATAAAATTAGATTATTATAAACAAATAGAAGCATTTTTTGTGATATAAAAGTTAAAAATAGAGATGCACAAATAAAGAAACAATCCGGTTGAACAATGAAATTGATGAACTTTTTAATCTATGAAAATACTACATATATTCAAAGTGATGGACAATATATCCTGATAGATAATGCAATATGAACTTTTTGTGATAAAATTAACCAAATTAAGACAAGTGTAATTTAGAGAAATTTAAAGTTATTGAAAATTGCGATTAACAGATACTTAATCTCAATGATTGGGGATTTGAAAGAGAACATGAACCAGGAATCTCAATAAACTTGAATGTCATTAGTTGTTGATCGAAATTCAATCTTGATCTTTAAGAAATAAGAGTAAATCATGCTATGAAGGGAAAGAAAATAAACAGAGCAATATGTACAGTCTTCTTTAATAGACTATATCCACAATATTGGAGAGTGAATTTATCTAAAATAAAAAGGGCAGAAACATACCAGGAAAAAAATCAATGCTTATAAAAACTGAATCTTTACTTCACAGTGACTCAAAGAAACATTGTATTCAATGACATTCTTCATTAATAAAAGAGAGGGGGGATGCACAAATAAATAATAAATAAAAACTAAAAAGAAGAAAAAAGACAATCTTAGCTTTAAAAAAAAGAACACGGCTAAAACTACAGGTAAAATCTCAAAAATTAGGATTACCCATTTGAAGAAGAAGATTACAAAAACAAAGTTACTGAAATTTGAAAGATATATAATAACTTTATTAAATACAAATATATCAACTACGAAAAACAAAAAGGAAAAAGAGAACACTATTACCCAAAAAGAACATTTCTTCGAAAACAAGTAATAAGATACAAAGATAAATGACAAGAGTGATATTCTATATATATACTTACAGCTTGTCCATGACAATGAACTCTTGAAGTCGCTTTCCAATTGTTGTCTTTGTTGAAGGACTGCCATTAATGACAATGGCAAGTACATCTTGCATTAAACAAAAATAGAAAAACAATTATTAGATCATGAGAACTATTCTATTATAATAACAATTAGGTTTTATGTGAATAATAGTAAAATAATTAAATAAATTTATAAATACCAAATTCAAATTGTTTGGATACTCAAAAGTGTCAAATTTGGCAATAGTCAGTCGTGTTGGTGGTGGTAATGGATCCTCTTGAGGTTTGACCTCTTCAATTGGTTCAACAATGATGTTTTTGTCGAGTGTCCAAATGAATTTGTTAAGTGGATTTTCGTATCCAAGAGGTGGGACTTTCACATATGCAACAGATACCAAGTAAGTCTTGAAAGGAGCAAATTCTTTTTCAAAATATGTTATGTCAGTACAGAAAATGGTGGCCTGAACTTGATTCTCCTGTAAAAGAATTTGTTAAAAGTTTGATTAGTTGTGTAGAATTTAAATTTATCTTATTATTATTTTATATTGTTAAAGTAAAAAATACGAAATAATGGATTATTTAGTTAACTCGATTAAAGTCAAACTTTAAAATCAATAATATATTTTATTAAAAATAAATGCCTCTTTATCTTGTAGAATTAAGACTTGATATTTTGTGGTTTTATCTTTGTTGTCCCTTGGTCAACTTTTATCAACAACTTGGACTTTACATGTTGTCACGACCCAAAACGAGCCGCGAGTGGCACCCACACTTACCCTCCTATGTGAGCGAACCAACCAATTCAAACCCCAACATTTCAATCATAATAAACAGAAAATAATGCGGAAGACTTAAAACTCATTAATGAAATCAATTAATAACTTCTAAAATTTATCAATTACTATCCCCAAAATCTAGAAGTCATCACAACAAGAACATTCTATCCTCAAATTACTAAATCTAAGAGTGTCTAAGAAGCTAAAATAATAAAACAGATGGTCCATGTCCGAACTTCAAGGACATCAAGACATGAATGAGATAGAATCCAGTACGAGCTAGGAACAATAGCTCACCCTGAAATCTGACGTGATGAAGACTGGCTAGAGTTGCGGTTGAGTTGAAGACGACGGTACGTTTGCTGCACTCCACAAATAACAAAGGAAAACATACAAGTAGGGGTTAGTACAAAACACAAGTACTGAGTAGGTATCATCGGCCAACTCAAAATAGAAAGCAATATATATCAAATAATAACATAAAATCAACCATAACACTTAACAGGTGACAACAACAAGTACCATAACCACTGGGCACAACCCAAGCACATCTATAAGGACTCAAGTCTCCACACCATACTCATTTGGGAAACAGGTTCATTAAATCTGAGTATATTAGCATAATTCAAGATTCATTCTCTTTACTATCCTGGTGTCGGAACGTGACACTCCGATCCTTTACTATCGTGGTGTCGGAACGTGACACCCAATCCATACTATCCTGGTGTCAGAACGTGACACCCGATCCATACTATCCTGGTGTTGGAACGTGACACCCGATCCATTACTATCCTGGTGTCGGAATGTGACACTCCGATCCTTTACTATCCTGGTGTCGGAACGTGACACTCCGATCCTTTACTATCCTAGTGTCGGAACGTGACACCCGATCCATACTATCCTGGTGTCGAAACGTGACACTCTGATCCCCTAATTCTACGTGTCGGTTCGTGACACCCGATCCCCTAATCTCATTCTTTCAGTTCATCAAGCCTTCTTTTATACCAAGGCATCATCATTAACAAAGAGGTTTTAAGGTTTAAGATTCAATAGCCTCATCATGCTTATTTTATCACAATTATATAATTACATCATGCAAGCACTCAATTAAGCATATAGAAGACTTTACGAAATTACCCAATACATATCAATCGCTATTTAGAGTTTACTACGGAATAACATAAACCATAACCTACCTTCACCGAAGAATCGTGATCAAGCAATCTACTTCCCCAATGCCCTTGCTTTCTCTTCGTTCTTCTTTCTCTCTCTCTCGTTCGTCCCACTCTTTTGTTCTTTCTATTTTTCCTTATTCAAACTCTTCTTCTTTTATCCTAATTACCATATAATTAAGTATAAAAGATGACAAAAGTAACCCACTATCTAATTCAAGGTTATCTCATTTAACCCCCAAGTAATTGAATTATTAACATTAAACCACTAACTTTATAATCATAAGCAGGAATAGTCCAAAATACCCCTTAAAAACTTTTAACAGAAATCCGACCCAGTCAGGGTTACGCAGCCTGTGACGGTCCGTCGTGCCTGCGACAGTCCGTCCTGCTGAGTCGTCACAGAGTTCAGAGACTCAATTTCATTTAAGAGGTCTGTGACGGCCCGTCATTCCTGCGATGGTCCGTCCTGCCATTCCGTCGTGAAGTTCAGAGAGTCTATCTCAGTACCCAAATTTTCAGAATCTAAGTGTTTTGGAACGAGACCCCCTCGACGGTCCGTCGTGCCCATGATGGTCCGTCGTGGTATCCATCGACCCAGACAGTTATTACCAGAATAAACTCTACTGCTCAGAAACGTCTAAACAGGTCGTTATAATAGATACCAATTTACCCATCATTCGTCCTCGAACGATCACAAGAAGAAAAACAGGGGCGAAAAAGAGTACCTGAATCTGAAAACAGGTGTGGGTATCTTTCTTGCATATCAGCCTCTTTCTCCCAAGTGGACTCTTCAACTGGCCGATTCTTCCACTGAACCTTGATGGATGCAATCTCCCTTGACCTCAACTTGTGGACTTCTCTATCTAAAATAGCAACAGGCTCCTCCTCATAAGACAAATCCTCATCAAGAAAAACTGAATCCCAACGAATGATGTAGTTTCCATCCCCATGGTATCTTTTCAACATAGACACATGAAATACCAGATGCACTCCTGACAGTCCTAGGGGTAAGGCTAATTCATAAGCTACCTCCCCCACGCGCTTCAGAACTTCAAATGGACCAATATACCTCGAACTAAGCTTACCTCACTTACCAAACTGCATCACCCCTTTCATGGGTGAAACCTTCAGCAAAACTTGCTCGCCCTCCGTAAACTCCAAGTCTTTAACCTTTCGATCTGCATATTTTTTCTACCTACTTTGAGCCGCTAGAAGCTTTTCCTGAATGCATTTCACTTTATCTAACGATTCCCTCAGAAGGTCAGTACCCCAAGGTCTAATCTCAAATGCATTAAACCACCCAATGGGAGACCTACATCTTCTCCCATACAGTGCCTCAAATGGGGCCAGATCAATACTTGAGTGATAGCTATTGTTGTATGAGAACTCTGTTAAGGGTAAGAAGTTATCTCAATGACCACAAAATTCTATCACACATGCACGAAGCATATCTTTCAACACCTGAATCACTCGCTCAGACTGACCATCGGTCTGAGGGTGAAATGCAGTACTAAGGTCCAACCTAATACCTAATTCAGCATGCAATGTTTTCCAAAATTTAGAAGTAAACTGCGTACCTCTACCTGATATGATGGAAAGTGGAACTCCATGCAATCGAACAATTTCTAAGATGTAAAGTTTGGCTAACTTCTCTGCATTGTAAGGTCACCTTAACCGGAATGAAGTGAGCAGACTTAGTTAGCCTATCAACAATTACCCAAATGGAGTCATACTTACCCATTGTCTTTGGAAGACCAACCACGAAGTCCATTGCAATTCTCTCCCACTTCCATTCAGGAATGGGCATTCTCTGAAGTGTCCCTCCAGGCCTCTGGTGTTCATACTTTACCTGCTGACAATTCGGGCCATTGGGCAACAAAATCAACAATGTCACGCTTCATCCTACTCCACCAAAAATGTTGCTTTAAGTCACGATACATCTTGGTTGCACCAGGATGTATAGAATACCTTGAACTATGAGCCTCTGTAAGAATAGTGTGAATCAAATCATCGACGCGGGGTACACATACTCCTCCCTTAATTCTCAAAACACCTTCCTCATCGATTTTTGCTTCTTTAGCCTCTCCTCGCAATACCTTATC